AATTTGTAAAGAAAAAAAATTAATTTAGTTATAATTTAATTAGTTCAAGATAAGGATAAGTAAAAAAATCACAAATAATGAGATGTAACTCATGCATAATTACATGTATATCGCGCATAAAAATATGTAAGTCACCAATGAGTAGATGTAACTCCATGTAGTATCAAATATAACTTCAAGAATCATGTATGAGTGTAAATCATACACTTGAAAATGTAATCACATGTTTTATTAAATGTAAATCGCACACTTGAAAATGTAATCTCATGTTTTTATTAAATTTAAATAGAAAAAACAAACTCAATGCATTAAAAACACTAAAAACATATAAAAGAGATAAAATTACATAAAAATGTTATAGAAAAAAGTAATTATAATCATATTTTTAATATTTTAATAATGGAATTGAAGATAATTGAAAAGGAAAACAAGTAAATTAAAAAAAGAAGACAAAAAGAGTCGTGGAATCTATCTACTCGATTATTAAAATATGCCAGAAAGTATTCTAATGTCCATGCCAAATTGCAATAGAAAACGAAGGGAAAGAGGAAGGCAAAGGTCGAAGGAAATTAAAAAACAGGGGGTACGAAGCTGTGCTGGAGAAAAAATGGAGTGACGGAATCAGAGAATAAAAGCTGGTCAAACGAGAGAAGATTACTTGACTGCGTTATTTTTAATTGCAGAAACAGTGCCGTATTGGATTGGCACACCATACTCATGGTGTGCCGATCCACGGTATAATTTGTGAGTCTATTTGCACGCTTGAGAAAATAATGTCTGCATTTGAAAGGTCACATAGGAAATACGCACGCAAGGAGTCAATATTCTAGTATAAGTGTAAAACTCGTTTTTGTCTTTTAAGAGCATCTCCATTCATGCTCTCGAAATTTATGGTTTTTTATAATGCTTTTTTGCTATGTTATTGTCATGTAAAATATCCCAAAACTTATTATCTTCTTCTCAATCATGATCTCTATTTATCCAGATTTTTATGAGACATACACTTAAATTTAGAATCTCTCACTTAGTTTTTAATGAATGTATTTAAGAGTTAGGAAGGCATGAAGCTTCCTCCTATTCCTCTATATATGCTACGTACATAGTAGTATATATTTGCAGGCATAGTATGTATATAACGAATTTCAAGAATGGGCATATTAAAAGATGACAGTAATTATGTTTTGAACCTTGAACTTTGAAAATAATCTTAAATAATCAAGGTTTTGATATTTGATACTAGATTATTTTTCAAAATAATCTCAACATCTCAACCATGATCTGAAAAAATATCATCCACGTCATCAAGATGATCCCCAAATAAACTTATGGATGGGGATGCCTAAGTAAAAAGACTAGCACGATACTATTATATTGGATCAATTAGTGAAAACATAACATAACATTGCACGATTCTATGAGCAAAGTTTCCAACAAAACTTTATACTTTATTATAAAATATAAAAATATATATATTATTTTTATACTACGGAGTATAATATACGGAGTACTACATATATAAAATATGATTTTTTGAAGACTCGTTTATTTGAATTATGAAAATTATTTGAAAATGTCCTTTGAGAAAATTACTTTCACAAATGTATAAAATTTATAAATTTCACACACACATATAGTAACTTAAGTATTGCCCAAAGTTTCTTTTATATATATATAAAATATGATTTTTTGAAGACTCGTTTATTTGAATTATGAAAATTATTTGAAAATGTCCTTTGAGAAAATTACTTTCACAAATGTATAAAATTTATAAATTTCACACACACATATAGTAACTTAAGTATTGCCCAAAGTTTCTTTTATATATATAGAAAAAACAGTCAACTTCAAAAAATTATTTGACTGTCTTCCCGATCGAATTTTGAGCTAAATTTTTTGTGGATAAACTAGACTTGATGAACATGCTCAAAAAATTTCATCAAAAAATTCCACTGAAAACCGTTCCAAACGGCGGAGTTCGGATGTCTCGAAAAAATTCCACCGGGACACACACACACACACACACACAAAGAGAGAGAGAGAGAGAGGTTCAAGTCCGAAATTTCGGACAAAGACGTTCAGGCGAAGGCGATGGCTTTCATCCGTCTAGAAGAAGATTTACAATCCCATCACAGACAAATCGAGTACGAAGGAGGGCACGGAAAATCAGAATCTTCCAAGAGGCGTGATTATAAGCATGGAAATCCTTATTCGAGACCTGAAGAACGAGTCGTCACTTCTGTGACGAGATAGATCATATGACACCATTGAAGTCGTCGGACGGGGGACATGCCGTCCGATGATAAACAGGTTCTGAATAGCTGCAATACGGTACTCTTAAAGTCCTTTCATTTTTGGTTTATTATTTTCTATTTGTCACCCCTGAGACAAGATAGACTAGACGACATGGTTGAAATCATCGGGCAGGAGGCATGTCGTCTGATAATAGACCTGATGAGATGATTGAAATCGTCTGACTATAACAGATTTTGACGACAAATGTCTATTTAGGGAAATTCATATATGTATTGTTAATTCATTACTTTCCTTTACCTATAAATGGTCACTAACTTAAACATCGGAGGGCCGTTGGCTTCTAGCCAATGGCCGATGTTAGTGAATTCCTTTTTACACAGGTACAATCAACAATTGACGAGACAGAATTTTAACATACAAAGCCTTACAATACGTCAAGATACAATTGACGGGAGGCTTACATAAATCAAAGTCTTACAACACGTCAAAACGCAATTGACGGTGGGCTTACATAAAACAAAGCCTTACAACACGTCAAAACGCAATTGACGGGGGGCTTACATCAAACGAAGCCTTACAAAAACGTCAAAACACAATTGACGGGGGCTTACATAATTTTAGGGGAAGAAGTGGGAGTTTTCACGTACGCTAAACATGAGTATAAACACCACCGATTCTCCGCAATGTTTTGACCAAAACTACAGAAACACACAAGAGAAGCGTGTGTTCCAAGAGAATGACAACAAAAGCTCCAAAGCATGAGGAGACAATACGAACGACATTGACATAAATCGTAAATATTCATGTCGACGATATTACTAAAATAATAAATGAAACAGTATTCAAAGTTTATGCATGATGTAGATTACGTTCATACGACCCGACTTGTCAACTCTGGCAACGGACGAAGTTCCCCTGGCCAACTAAAGTATCGATATTGACCAGGACGAAGTTTCAACTCGTCGGCCTTGCCTAGTTATGATCATTAGCACAAATTTGGAGGAGGATGATAGGAGACCAGCCTTCGCTCTTCATCGCTTTAGTCAAAGAGACAGACTAGATCAAAAACTACTCGCACGAAAATTAGCGAAATCGTCTCATTAGACGATTGACGGGTTGAAGGAAACATGTCGTCAGACAAACGATGAGTTGACAGAAGCGTCTTGTCATATGAATGGAAGGTTGATAACATGTCTCATTAGACATATGACGAATCTATATGGGCAATATTCAAGGATGACAGATACAAATGTTTTCAAGATTTCAAAAAGTTAATGCTTAACGGTTTGACATGTATGACCATATGCTTTAACTTCCCGATAGGGGGCTGTTGTTGGGCCACAGATTATTTAAATCTATTCACCAAAGCAAGATAGGAACATAAGAATCATAAGAAGGAAAGAATTAAAAAAGAGATTATTTAGCCGTTGGCCTTTATATAAATATATTTACTTTCCTTTTTCCTTCCATTTCTAACGTATGGAAAAGGATTAATAAGTTTCCTTAGCTAGATATACTAGTTAGTATTTAATCGGATCTTCCTTGGAAAGAAGCCACAGACACGATCAAACACCATCATTCCTCCATTCGAGCTATTCAAAATTTCAGTTGTGTTTATTCTAAATAAAATTATTGTCGATTCATATTTGCCCGATTCCCTATTAATTCATATTTAGATTAGTTTATTTTTGGCATAAACAATAGTTAGTTTTTTGAAGGGCTTAGGAGGGGTTGACCTTTAGCAACACTCGAAAACTGCATAACGACTCACAGTTTCAGACAAACAAAAAAGTGGGGAAGCAACAAATATAAATGATGTAATTGGCGTAAATAATAAGGCCACAAGCACCTTAACTATTGCAAGTGGAGTAAAAAATGTTGTTCTGTCAACAATTATTTTTAGTCTTATATGCAAGAAATGCCTTTTTATCATCAAGATGTCTTCACTTTTTTGATGAGCTCATTAGACCTGATTATCCTTCATTCACTTGATTCATGAATTATTGATGGTTCTATATTGATTTGATTGGAGAAAACGGCCTAAAAGTGTACTAAACGGAAGCTCAAAACCATGAAAGAAACTTGAAATTAATTTGCATCACACTATGTTAAATCAACCCCAGTTAGAATTAGATACACGGGTACTTCCAAATCCAGCTCGTTATCCCTATGTCAAAAATATCTCATGCACAGAAAAAGATCACTCTTTACGAATGGTGATTTTCCCTTGTCACTCTTGTTGTCGGGTCTTTTATGACCCGAGAGTTCAGTCACTTCAACATTTGGAATCGTCAAGGTGATTCGAAACTGATAAATCCAGTCCTTTAAAAACTCTCCCCAAATTCAATAATAGGCTTAATTTATGAATCGGTTACTATCTTGTCACATACAGAAGAAGAAAAAGGCCAAGGTTAAGACCATTGATGGTTAAACGATCTTAAATTATGTACTTAACATCATAAGTTTATATTGTGAAAGAAAAAAAAACATATAACCACAATATTAACATGACTTTCCATATAAAATTCGGATATATATTACATATGCATGTTTAGTGCTTATCTCATGCTCCTTCAAAGTTTATAGTATTTGAACTATTTCTCCATTTTTCTTTAAAAAAAACTATTTCTCCATTTTTTAAAAATAAAAATACTGTGATCTGGACGAGGATTCAAAATTAGACCTTCCCCAACCAAAGCATTTAAATTTAAATGCGAGTTAAGTTGTCACTGAGAGCGACCTCCCATGGAGCTGTTATCTCTATCTCTCTCCGTTCCTGAATTTCATTCGTCCAAAAGGCCCACACTCACAAATGCCCAAAAGAACACTTTCTTTAGTGAGAAAGGTGGTCAAGAAAGCTATAATTACCGCTTAAGCCGGCGCCTAACACGGACCCGAAGAACCCAATATATTATTACTAAGATTAGATTAGAAAGCCAAACAACCGGGTCCTTTCTTTCAAACACTCGTATGATTTTAGTCGTAATTTATTGCATTACTTTCCTACCCATCCGTTCTTTCATTCGAATTCCAAGCCCCCCGTCAAAATCCCAACTTTGTAGCAATTTCCCACATCCTTTCTACACAGCAGAATTCCGTTTTCTTAATTTTTAGCAGATCTGTGAATGTTTAATATAACTACCTTCAAAATTGCGCATCTTTGCTTCATTGCGTTGCCTTGTTGTTTTCCTTTTCTAAGGGGAGAGTCTGGCAAACCTCTCTCCTTAGAACAATTGCTCTCAAATTTCGGCTATGAAAAAACTGCTTTAGTTGGGGATCATTTCAGCGTTTTTTTTAAGATATAAGTTTTTTTTTTTTTTTTACATTTTTCTAGAGATGGGCTGCTTTTATTGTATACGAATAAGAACTTCTTGTAATAAGGATATAAGGGATTATGGTGAAGATATGGTTCCTGAACCTCGCAACTCTTCAGGTTCGTTCTACTGATTATTTGTTTATTTAAAAAAATCTCCATTTTTTGAATTCTCATTCGTTGGCATTATTACATTTGCAAAATTTCATTCTTTTATGCAATGTGCATATGTATTTATGATTTTTTAACATTAATTTTTCAGTAAATGCGAAGGTGAAGGCTCATCCTGATGGAGATGATGCAATTGGTGAGAGTTTTTTCATTTAAATTTATGTGCTGAGTTATTAGTCACACCAGGCTGCTTTTTGTAAAATGTTAGATTGATTTCTACCTGAGTTTTTTTTTTGTTCTTGAAGATGTTCAATATCTTTCTTGGTGGTATTTTTGGGTTCAAGGGAAATTCTCGGGGAAAGAAAGAAGCTGATGAGGAATTCGTTATCATATCATTATGTACTTTTTAGAAACTTTTTATATGTATATTTAGGATCTCTTAGTCTTTATAGGATCTCTTAGTCTTTTAAATAGAAATGTTCTTTCCTTGTAATATAATTCTCTCTATTTTCATTCCCTAACATCTATTAAGCACGGGAACTTTAGGAAAGAGTAAGTTTCCGTTTCAGAAACTCTTTGGAAACTCTCCAAACAATTGTTTTTCTATTAAAAGACAATGTTTCCTTTTCTTGTTCCCTTTCCTACGTTTCCATGCTACACAGCCTAACATTTGTATGGCATTCAAAATGATGGGTGTTGTTGAAGTGTAGGGAAGAAAAGAGGGGAGAAGAATGGGGAGAAGGGGTCCAATGTAGCCCGTAGTTTCACGTTCAAGGAACTAGCAACAGCCACACAGAACTTCAGGGTATCCAATTTGCTGGGGGAAGGCGGGTTTGGTAGCGTGTATAAAGGGCGTCTCGACCCTGACCTGGCAAGCTCTTCTTTATATTCATTGACATGCTTTAGTTTCTTTTTAAATGCATGGTTGTGATACTTGGGGTCTGTTTGGCTGACTTGACAAAATTGCTCAGTTGTCTTTTCTGAAATGAAAGAAAGTGTTTTGGAATCATTTACTTAAGCCAAACAAGCAAGACTAAATCATAACTATCTGATATATTATTTTAGAATCATTTATTTTTTGTTTTAAAGCCTAATGTTGGGTGTTATGGTCAGACCGTTGCTGTCAAACAACTTAATCTTGATGGGTTGCAAGGGAACCAAGAATTCATTGTGGAGGTGCTTATGTTGAGTTTACTTCACCACAAGAATCTTGTGAATCTGATTGGATATTGCACAGATGGAGATCAGAGACTCTTGGTTTATGAATATATGCCTATGGGTAGCTTGGAGAATCACCTCTTTGGTAAACCTTTGAATTTGTTCATTCATTTGTTTATTCTTCTGTTATGCATTCCATCCACATCTATCGATGATCTGGTTATATTTACAAGTTCAATTATTATCTTCAATTATTTCCTTTTGGCTCCGATATCATGTACTAGTATCATTCATGTTAGCCGACCCCAAAATCTTTTGGCACTAAGGCATGGATGCTATTGTTGTTGTTGTTGATTATTATCTTCAATGGGGGCAACAAACACACAAAGATACATAATTCCGTCAGATGCTAAATTTTAAATTTAGATCCCTCGGCACCACCAATATGATCCTAATGTTTGAAATTCATTTTTATATACCCGTAAAATAGAAAAAAATAAAGGGAAGTAAAACGAAAAAGGGCATCTTTACTGGGTGTAAGTGAATACCATCCTTGTATTTTTGAATAGATAGGTTTTACATCTTCTTTTTTAACCCACAGATGTGGAGGTGGGGAAGGAGCCACTTAGTTGGTGCACGAGGCTAAAAATTGCGGCTGGTGCGGCTCATGGACTCGAGTATCTACATTGCAAAGCAAATCCGCCGGTCATTTACCGTGATTTGAAATCCTCAAATATTTTGCTGGACAATGATTTCATCCCGAAGCTATCAGATTTTGGGCTCGCGAAATTGGGGCCTGTCGGTGACAACACACACGTTTCCACACGGGTGATGGGCACATATGGGTATTGTGCGCCCGAATATGCGATGAGTGGCAAGCTTACTTTAAAATCTGACATCTACAGCTTTGGCGTGGTTCTCTTGGAGTTGATCACTGGGCGTAAGGCTTATGACAGTAGTAAGAATCAAGGGGAGCAGCACTTGGTTCTTTGGGTGAGTTTTTGTTTCTCTCCTGTCACTCTCTATATGCCCATATTAGTCTTGGTTACCACAATATACGTGGTGATTAATTAATAATCTCTTATAGGACACAAAATTATCGTCTACAAATTTTGCTTCACTCGGCGATCTTGATATCCCCACATGACTACTTCATATTTTATTCAATCTATGGTTTCATATGGTTATTAATGTATGCACAAATTATGTACTTATGTGGTTCTTGGTTGGGGTGGGCACTTCATAGTTTTTTTGTTTTTCAGTTGGCCGGTTGGAAAATGATGCAACTTTAAACCAAACTTAATTTGGAGCATCTTTTTTGGCTTTCAGGGTTTTATCTTTATTGGGTTTTCACGTCTTTTTTCGGTTTGATTTTAGTGGTTTTGGTTTGGTTTGGACTAATACAATTCGAGTATTATACCACCTAACAAAAACCGAATTAACTATTTGTTTGGCTTGGTTTGGTTAATTGGTTAGGCTAAACCAAACCAAAAGGCCAACCACTATTTCTATGACGTTGAACCCATTGGTTAATGTGATGCATTTTCAAGCCCCCCTAAACGCACAATGCACTTATGCACTTTAGTAGAGGTAAATTTGGCTGATAGAGCTGTATTTCTTACATTATGGCTGAAAAGCCTAAACGTGTTGATTGAGTCAAATTGTCTAAAAGTGTGTCTGAAAGGCATATCTTTAATGAGTCAAAGAAAAAATATCTAAGAAGTGATGGCCAAACAGACTTTTATCTTCATTTCTGTCACAAAAGCTAAATGTTAATAACTCATTTCTTTATTGTGACACTGCTGCATACAGTAAAACATACTACCTCCATCCCATATTTATCTTCACTTTTCGGTATACCTTGTTTGACTGAGGCGATAAAGCAATTTCATCCCTGTTCACACTCGGATTATTTTTATTAAATAAAATTTACATATTCAGAAACTACATAAAAACCGCTAAAAAGCCTAATCAAGAAAATTTATATTTGATAAAAATTTGATATATAAAGTAAAAGATTAAGAGTAATTTGAGTTGACCGTGTTAATAGTAAATGTTAAGATAATTCAGGGACGGAGGGAGTATTTCTTTAATAAATTTAGAAATTTTAAAATGGTGGCAAAAACAGTTTTTATCTCCATTTCAATCAAAGATAACTTTTACACTGCTTTTTAAGAAAAAATTACGCTGTTGGTGCCATGACTATTCATAATGTCATTCCCACTTTTGGTCCCTAACTTTCAATTTTCCACTTTTGGTCTCATGACTGTCTGATCACTTGTCTAGTCAATTTACAGTTGACCTTTGCCTAAAAATTGGCCGGAAGTACCTCAACTGACAGAAAAATTATAGTCTTGGGACCAAAAGCTGGAATAATGAAAGCTAGGAACCAAAAGTATGAATTTCTTAATAGCCGTGGACCAAAAGTAACGCCAGTTTCTTTTAAAATTTTATTACTATCAACTGTTTCGGGAAATACAATCAAATGAGTTAGGGTTTGGTAGAAAATCCTAATGCTGAAAGCCAAAAAGAAGTTGGTGTCATCTTAAATCTTAATAGTTTAGTCTAACTTTTTGCAGTGTAGGCCATTCCTAAGGGATAGGAGCAAGTTTGTTGAGATGGTTGACCCGCTACTTGAAGGTCAATACTCTATCCGTTGTTTGCACCATGCGGTTGCAATCACAGCAATGTGCCTTCAGGAACAAGCAAACTTCCGGCCGCTTATCACCGACATTGCCGTTGCGCTAGAGTACCTAGTCTCACAAGCAGAAAGCTCGGATTCTCACAGACCAGGGGGGTGTGGTAATGTCCGCCTAGGCAGCCGGCACCCAGATCCAAACTCCGATCCTTCATTACAAAGTTCGTGCAACATTTCTGCGCCATCCTAAACTGCAGGCTGTCATCAATGTTTGTGGGTTCATAGTGAAGATCAGGTTATACATATGTATGTACGAAGACTTTACTTTTATTTGTTTGTTGTTGTTTTAGTACGATGGTCAGCAAGAAGCCATTTTTGCTACTACAATGTTGTGCGGGAACAGTTTTGTGACTAATTAGAAGCAAAAAAGGAAAAAGTTGTATCTTAGAATCAGAGAGTTTACTCTGGGGACATGACACTGTCTCTATATAGGTCCATTGTGGACAGATTGACTGTAATTCATTGGTACATAGTACACTGGCTGCGAGCTGTGATATTTTCTTTTAAGGTCTTTATTTTTCTTATATTTTTTTTTTTTGCTTTGTTGTTTGCATTTGTGCCGAAACAGAGGCATGATATTATGGGTGGACCGGTTCCGGTTCGGGCCTGGGCCCGGCCGGGCCTCGGTTCAGGAATGGGAGGCCCGGAACCGGCCCGGGTAATCCCGGGTCCGGGCCGGGCCGGGCCTCGGTTCTATTTTTTTTTTTTGGCTTTTCCTAATTAACCCCCAACCCTCCCCCCTCACCCCCAAACCACCCCAAACCACCTCAAATGGCCCAAAATACCTAGCCCAACCCAAAAACTTAAAAAAAATTCAAAAAAAAAAAAATTAATTTGGCCCGAACCGCACAGTAACCGGGCCGGGCCGACCCGAACCGCCCCCCCGGACCGGTTCCCGGGCCGGGCCGGTTCAAACAGTAACCGGGCCGGGCCGCCCGGCTGGAGTCCATCCCTACATGATATCCAGAAAGGAATTTTCAAAAGCATAGCATATTGAATACGCTGACCTTCACAATTGAATAGGTTGGCTTTAGGGCATGAAACGGAGTAAAATTATGTCAAGATGCATTTGGTTTGACCCTTGTTCCTGGAAGATATAAAATCTAAAAGAAAATTCCCTGATTAGGATTATGAATGTTTTTATTTGGACTGTTTTCAACCCCAAATTAGACCATACCATACCAGACTTGGACATAAAACACACATGGACCAAACATCTACCAGAGCAATTCAAACCAGACCAATTCAGACCAAATCAAATTGTAAGTTTCAATCCAATTAAAACATCCTAAAATGACACAATTCATAAACAAAATTATCATATGTTATTCCCAAAACAAGACTCATGCACTTAGTTTTAATCTAAGTTATCTAACAACATTATATTTGTGAATGTGTGTTGGTACTCTTGATTTGTGTCAGTACATCTTAACATAAAAAATTGTACATTATGCTTAGAAAATGATACCTAACTTTTCAAGTGACTTTAATAGCCCTAATGCTTTAAACTTCCGTTACTTGATTCATAAAGACATTCAAGTACTTTTTGTATTAAAAATACATGACATTTATGGGGGAATTACTTATATTAACAAATACTTTTAATACTACTATAATAAATTTGTGACATTTAAATAAAGTAATGTGTGAACTATTTATATTAACAAAGTAATAATCAAATGTCCTATATTAATATGTACTTACTTTTTCAAGTTTGACATTTTTATAGTTAATTGTATTGATTTTTTTCTACAATGAAGCAAATATGTATTTACATGATAATATAAATTGTTTTACTATAATGAATATTTCTCCTCAAATATATCTAAAAAATTCTTTGTACCGATCAAGCGGAACTTCTCCTCATGTCTATGCCTCTGCTAAATAAATCTTATTTGAGATTTGAAAACATGCTTCATTTTATTTTTGAAATTTGTTTATGTTGTAGGGGTGTTTGGAATTGATTCTGCTTATTTTCTTTTTTTAAAATCAGAAGTAGAATCAGAATTAATTTTTCAGAAGCTGGTATCCTTCAACTTCTAAAAATTGCTTCTAAGAGTAATTTGAAGCACTTTCACCCAAATACTTGAATGATTGTTTTTGTTTCTTGAAAGAGAAAAATAAGTTTTAAGAAGTAGATCCAAACACGTCTTAATCCAAACTCCCTTCTCCCCCTGTCTCACAACCGGGCTTCCCATTCAATTCCCCCTACAGCGGTGATTGGGTGAAATTGATGAGTAATGATTACAATCGTGTGAGTCCGACAAGGGTATGTAGTCACAGACGGATCATGAGAGCAATTCGGAAGATAAAGCTTTTATGGACTCGAATCAAATTCGCTTATGAAAGATGGTGTGAAGATGCAATGAAAACATACAAAGAAAGAAAGAGTGCTTCCCCACTACAAAGATAACAAACACAACCATTTTTATTTGGAACGGAGCAGTCAACAAACAGTGTGTCCTCCGCAACCACAATTACAGGACAAGATGATAGACAACATGTCACAATCCCTATATACAATGGGAAATGAGAGCATGCCCACCCCCCCTTTTTTTATAGTGCTTCCTGTTTTCACATTGTCGGTCTCACGTTGAGACGGGAAGCAACCTTCTGACCCAGAGATCTATCGGCCTGCGAGATCACACAATTTCTTTAAAATAAAACAATATTCAGAACATGCCAACCTATATTTAATTTACTTATTAAGGGTCCGTTTATTGCACCAAAAATGGTCACAAGCAAAGAAAAACAAGTCAGTCACATATTATTCTACATCAGTATATATATATATATATATATATATATATATATATATATATATATATATATATATATATATATATATATATATATTCGATCAAGATGTCAAACATACTTGAGTGAGGTATGAAATCCAAATGCTGCGTAGTTCATGGGTGACCCGCGGTTCGGACAAGGACTTGACCCATCGGGTCACAAATCGGTCTTGCCTGCATAAATTCATTCAATTCAGACTCATGGCGGGGATTTATATCTCGATCTATCTGGCGGGTGAAATTGAATGGGTTACCTGTCCGGATCCCAGGACCTGTATCTATCTCCGGGTTGCTTGAAGTTATTCTCCTTCTCAATCACACACTGATCGATGAGCAATTAATTAATTCATTAAATGGGATACCATCGTTAGGATACTATTCATTACTCTTACTATTCTATCCTAAAATATTGTGACAAAAGCAAATGTAAGGAACATATAAATACGGATGGAGTACATACCTTGTCACGCCGCCCGGAGACTATACGTGTAGGAGTTGGGAACTTTTCCGCATTACGAGTAGAGTCAAACCTGGAAGGGAAGTAATCAACCTGCAATAGATATGTAGATATTGAGAATTCATTCATCACTTAATTAAGAATTTATTTTTAGGTAGTTATGCAAGTAACTAACTAACTAACCTCCTCATCCCTGTGCGTGAAATTCATGTAACCATCATAGCTGTTGTTGTGATAAGCGCACTTGGGAGCATTGACAGGGAGGAGCATGTAGTTTGGGCCGAGCCGATGCCTGTGCGTATCCGCGTAGGCGAAGATCCGGGCTTGCAGCATTTTGTCGTCAGAGAAGTAAATCCCGGGGACTATGTGCGCCGGGTCCATCGCCAACATCTCGTTCTCCGCGAAGAAGTTGTCGATGTTCTTGTCCAGCACCATGCGCCCCACCGGCTGCAGCGGGATCTGGTCCTCGGGCCAGATCTTCGTCGTGTCCAGCGGGTCGAAGTCAAACCTGTCCTCGTGGTCCGGATCCATCACCTGGATGAACAACTTCCACTCGGGGTAGTTCCCGGCGGCGATGGACTCGTACAGGTCCTGCGTGGCGTGGCTGTGGTTGGCGCCGCCGATCAGCACGGCCTCCTCCTCCAGCAGGCACTTGACGCCGCAAGTGGGCTTCCAGTGGAACTTGACGTAGTTGACCTTGCCGGCGGAGTTGATGAGGGTGAAGGTGTGGACGCCGAAGCCTTCCATGTGGCGGTAGTCAGAGGGGATGCCGACATCGTCGTAGAACCAGGCGAAGGTGTTGAGGCTCTCGGGGAGGTGGGAGAGGTAGTCGAGGATGCGCCAATTCTCCTGGATGTGGGACTTGGGGTTGGGCTTGAAGGCGTGGATGACGTCCGGGAAGTGGGCGCCGTCGCGGATGAAGAAGACGGGGAAGTTGTTTCCGACGAGGTCGAAGTTGCCCTGCCGGGTGTAGAACTTGATGGCAAACCCCCGAGGGTCACGGATCGTCTCGGGGCTGCCGCGCTCGTGGATCACGGTGGAGAAGCGGGCGATGAGCGGGGTGCGGGCCCCCGGAGCGCGCAGGAAGTCGGCGCAGGTCAGGTGCGTGACGTCGTGCGTGACCTCGAAGAAGCCCTTGGCGCTGGCGCCCCGCGCGTGCACCACTCGCTCCGGGATCCTCTCTCGAGTGAAGTTGGCTATCTTCTCCACTAGGTGATAATCTTCCAGCAGGATGGGGCCCCGGCTTCCGACGGTTAGTGCGCAGGTGTTGTTCCAAACCGGGGCTCCCCCGTTGGTCGTACAGAAGGGTGTGTTGAACTTGCTCGAGGGTCGCTGCAGCTCCTCCTGCTACATACATTTCAAGCCCACAACACTTACATCACATGCCTTTATTATTACTGGTTGATAAAAAAATATGTTGAATTTTTGTATAAAAAATTGGGACAAAGGTACTATTTAAAATATTAGATCAGATAAATTCAAACCATATGATATCAAAGAGTCAAACCAGATCAAATCAAAATGATTCAAAACAAACCAAATCAGAAAGATTTAAATCAGATAAGATAAAAAAAATATTAGTATCATTTTTATCATCATCAAATCAAAAAATATAATGATATTATAAGTACAGTTATGATGATGATGACGATGATTATAATAATAATAATAATGATGATGATGATGATGATGATGATGATAGTTCTACTACGTAACACTCAATCTGATCAACAATATTCAAACCATATTAGAAAATTCAGATCACATCAGAAATATTCAAATTACGTTTGATCTCAAACAATTTTTGAATGAGATGATTTAAGGCATGGTGCACATGAGGAGTGCTTCATACTAGATGAAACTAACACAACGGCTGTTGAGCATTGAATCAGATACCTCAACTGCCCCGCCAACTATCTCACTCAAGTGCCCCATGAGCCGGTATGCTCCAACTCTAGAGCCCGACCAAGTACTTCCTAAATAAAACTAAACACAGATGAAGTTCACAAATAGAACTATTAGTGTTTTATTATCAAAATAGAACTCATTTACTCCTATTTGGGAAGTTTTAATCAAGTTATTCTTTTAATATATATACTATCCCCCGTCTCTTTTTAATCGCAACGTGTTGATTATTTGCACTGTTCACATGATGTACTTTGACTACATTTTACACTATTATTTTATGGAAATTATTTTTAAAAAAAACAATTTTCAATTCATCTCATTACAAATTTTCAAATTCTGTTTTTTAATATTATTTTATTAATAGAGATT